GATATTTAAAGAACCAATCTATCAGTATCGCACAACTCCTGGCTAAAATAAATATGAAAGTGGCAACAGATACAAATCACAAGTAACTTACGTGGATGGCTTGTGTCCTAGTCTTTAAATTCTAAATTGTCAACGGAATTCAAGCTTACTTTACTCTGTCAAAAGAAAGAAAACGATTTTACTTCACACTGGAGAACTATGAACTAAATACTATAACATAAACAAGACAATATGACAATTATAGAAAATTGACCTAGAGATTAATTCAGCGGAAGCTTAACTCCTAAGAACATCAAAACTGTAATGAATGGCAGGTGGCTGCGACCCCGAATACACCGTGCTGCGCCGTAAGGCTACAAACTAAAAGTATATGTCGCACGCGTACTGGACGCGACAGTTAGATCAAACTTGTGTTGGAGAGTGGAAAAATATTGAGTTAGAGTGAACGCGCTTGATTGTTTTCACTAAAAATTGGTACATGACATCTTTATGTGTATTGGTGGAATCTTAACATTTCTAACAAGAACACTATCAAATTAGGGCTCCTAATTTTCTTCTATTATGACTCATTCTTGGTTGCATTATTTCATTCTTGGTTGAATTAAAAACTGGTTTAATAAAGGATGGGATAATATGTTCTATGTGAATTTTTAGGGTGATATTTTATCTCAAAGACGAGAACATTTTTGGTTGTAATGGTTTAAAGATGAGCTAAAAATTTTATGACGTGAGTATAAAAATGTGGGTTTGAATAGGTCTTCATTCTACTTACCATTAGCCGTCCAGTATAATAACATAATAAACATTATCTCGTTGCTGTTGTAGTAAAAAATGGGGGGCCACCCCCGGGTTTTACCCCGCGTCTTTCGCGTATTGATACTTGTATCTTACAACTTTATACTCACAACCCAGGAAATCGCGGAATGGGGGGTAAAATGTTACTTTTTCAGACATCGTGGGATGTAAGATGGTTTAGTTTATTGTAGTTTATGGTAGTTTATTGATATTGATATTAAAATGTAGGGGGCACTGGGATATTCTGGTTACTATTATCGATAGTTTTGCCCCTGAACATTAAAGAAATGGAGTATAGCTCAGAAGAGATTCGTATGCAACTGAAAGCTTGTTAAATGTGAGTTTGAATTGATCATTTGTAATTATCTTTAGCTCAGTTCACAACTCATTAACTACCGAAGATGTCAGCTATGAAACGATTCTCAAATTTCCAGGCTCATATATTTCCCAGCAAATGACAACTCTTATAAGGATGGACAAGGTAAATGAGAAAAAATATTTTTATAATTGAATGGTCTCTCCAAAATTTTTTACATACATGCAGAACCATAACGCAAGCGCATTTTTAGTACGAAGTTTCTTTTTTAGAAAAATTGGCGAGCATGTGATAATGTTAAAACAATGTTTGATAGGGGGACTGTGGCAAAATATTTTGATCACACAGATTCTGAATTAAAATTACAAAATAGTTATATCTACCTAACAAAAATACCTATAGTCTCTAAAAGTCCTTCTTAAATTTTCTAATCTAATTTTTTGTGAGAGTTTCTTCCTTTTTTCCCTCTATCCACCGCTCGTCGAATCACGTTATACCCCATTCTTCTCAAAAGAGTATAAACAAACTTCAACAGTAGATAGCTATAAGCCTTGTAAATAAAATAAGTTGTACCTCATAAGCTGAAAATATTTATTGTTGAAGAAAATTATTAACTGAAACTGTAAAATGAAATATTGGTAACAAAAATTGCTCGGCACTGGATTTCTGACTTCCCCATTGCCTTTCATTCGTAACGAAGGCATCATCCTGCGCCACATAACTCTCTGATGTCGAGTTTTGCGTGAATAAAAATCTACCAAACTCCAAACATCTCATTTTTATAAGGAATATTTTTACCGACTGTCACAATTCGCACTGTGGCACAGAGACGCAACAAAAGGTGAGCTACGTTAAAGCGCCTTATTCACCGCTACAAAATGAGCTCTAAAAGTCAATTTATGTGATTTTTTTAACCATACGTTCCCCTATCAATGAGCAGAAATAATTCCAAAACATTAGAAGTACATGTGTTTGAACAAGTACGTATGCTATATCCAAAAAACTCAGAAAGGTAATTATATATATTCAGACAGGGAATTCGCCTTAATATTTATTCAGACAGGCAAACTCTCAAGGAATTCGCCTTAATGTCATGAGCAAGTGCATTTCATCAAATTGGGATCGAGCGCCACAGGATCTTACGGTCCTATAAATGTTTACTTCCTAGAATGACGGATAAAACACGACCGATATAAGAGTAGCATCGCCAACGCTTCATATAAAATGATGTAAAAGTGGCACCAAGATTCTGAAGCTACAGTAATTAAGAAACTACACTGCGTCCAGAACTAGAGATGCAAGCTTAGAGTGCACCGTTTTCAGTTGCGTGGTATGCATGCTGAGCATTTCCACGTCTTCCGAATATATGTTCTAAGTTTCTGAGATCTGTCATTATTTATTATTAGAGGGTCATTAAAAAATTATAAATATGAGAAAAATTCATATATTTCAAAATTTTTACCAAATGAATTTCGGTTAATACAAGGTCGCAATAGTTAAAAATCGTTATTAATGCGTCTCCGGGTGACAAGCTCTAACTTTTACTGCTCAATATTATCATCTTCACGTTTGAAGGGTCATTCCAAAAATTACTAGTACTTCTAGAATTGTTACTTGTATAATTGTTTAACCATAAGCATTGGAACTCTCTTTCTTAACCATTCTCAACTTAGAATTATAAATTACTTGACCTATTCTATTTAATAACAGTTGACCACTTATTCGTACCTTAGAGACTTGATCCATAGAAACAATTTTGAAGAATCAATCACTGTAGAAAAATACTGCTGAAAAATCTCATTTCTCCTTATGGCAAATAAAAGTGATATGAGCAAACATGAAAATTATCTAAATGAAATTAAACATACGTTCCGAAGACTTAATGGACTAATAACGGAAAATTTCACCAAAACGAAATATTTATTGTCTACCACACTCGATAACCAATCAAAACCACCGACTACACATATATCCTGACCACGCAATGTAATCCACCAAATACCGAGCCTTCTGCGCTGGTACGTCCAATCTCATTAAAACTGGTATTCACATAATAAATAATTATACAAATAAACATTCACATAGTTCGATAAATAGCTATTCACATAGCCAATATTGTTGAAGAAAGGCGTATACAGAGAGACTAGTCATATTTTTTGCAATCTACTCAAGGTCTAATTCCTCGTTAATTATTTTCTATTTTGCTTTATTCATTGATTATTTTCTGATTCTATTTATAAGTAAATTATTTTCCGATTTTATTTATTTCATGCCTACGAAAGCTGATGTAAAGGTTGTCAAGGACTATTTACATCCCTTTGAAAAAGGCGATATAGCGATTAAAATATTTCCTATTTCCAACTTCATTGAATGTTGATATGAAATTTTATCATCTTTGAAACCTTTTGAAAGAGTTACTAATGCCTGAATATTTGAACCGATATTTTGATATTGACATTCACACTAACATAAAACTACTACTACTCCACCCATGATAATATTTTAATTACCATTTTTTATCCTTTTTTAGCGCATTTTCTCATTTTTGTACAAAAAGCACTATTGTGCTCGCTTTGTCCGTTCGTCTGTCTGTCTGTCCGTCTGTGACTTCGCGTTTTCGTCGACGAGAAAATGCGCTCTCTGACACTCACTCTAGTGAGTACTGAGTTATATATATATTTTTAATTTTGACTGAACATTCCAGGAGTGCTGACTTGCACGCTTTAATGGATCTCAATAATATTGTTGTTCTCGTAACTGTCCATCCTGGTTGTGGCAACTAGGTAAGGGCAAAGTGATCGGTCAGTTCTTCAGTGCACTCAAGCCACTGCTAGTTTCTATGACCATCACTGGCCCAATGATGCGCCTGAATCATTTTGTTTGCATTACATATCACCCTATAAACAAACAAGGTACACATTTATCGACTAGAATTCGTTGAATGGCTGAGTTTACCGTAAGCTGCGGGACCATTCACTAAGCTGAGGGTCCCGAAGATAATAATAAGTAATTATTAAATAATATATAATATTAATAATAATTAATAATAATAATATTTAATTGCCCCTAATAATTTCAATATTTTTCATCTCCTTCAACGAAAAACGAAGCCATCGTCATGATAATCGCGTCATAAGAATTTCATCGCCGCATCCATTTTGTTTCGAATGGTACAGTAGGTTTATATAAGTTTGACTGCACTCGATATTTGGATAATACTTGCACAGAATAGATTAAACAGACATTTTACCTGCAATTATATCACTCCAATTTGTTATCGAATACAGATGCTTACTCATCAGCAATGTGAACTATGATCACAACTGAAGATGCTATCTCATAATGCGTACTGAAGATTTGCAGCAAGAACGCGTTAATGAATCAACAGGCATCCATGCAGAAGACGAAATTCTGACAGCAATACTCAGCCAGTGAACTTAGATGAAGAATAATAAGTGAAGATCAAGTGCCGACTTATCAAACATCCTTGGTGCCAGCGACAACAGTAGAAGCCGTGCGCGACTAATGAAATGTAGTGGTAAACAATATCATAATGGAAATATTTTGTACGTAAATAAAGACAAGACAGTCTATTCAAGCCAACATTTTGATATAATACTGCTTATTTATTGACAAATAATACCATAGTTTAGTCCTGCTTATTCAAACAAACATAGTTACACAGTACAATTCATTCATGTACTTTATTAACGATTTAAAAGTTGATATAAGTGAGGTCGCAAGCAGATAATGCTTTTAGCAATCATAATGAATAGAGATTAATTCAGAATAAAAAATTTTCTACGTAAAATTAGAATTTTTTGGTATGCGGTCATCATTCACGATACAGTTACAGAGTTACTATATTCAATCGCAAATTTCATTGGCACCAAAAGATGTACGTCTAACCACAGCCGACAACTTATTACAGATTCTATCCATTTTTTTACAATGAAGATCGCTGCTCAGTAAATGAAGTAAACACGGATGGACTGAATCTGTCTCAGTCTAGCCGTCTTCCAACAAGTGATCGTTGAGGTGAGAAAGCTTTTTACCATCTGTTGATTATGAAATGATTAGCTTGTGAGCTTTCAAAGCTTTGACATAATTGCAGGAGATTGTTTTCATGTTGTCCTCGCAGACCCAATTAAGCAGCATTGAGTGCTTGAAGTATTGCTCGTCACTCTACAGAATATTACCTCGTCACGTAATTGACAATTTCCTCAGCCACTTAATTTTTGATGATATTCACTCCTATAAATATAGGGCCGCGTTTAAATTATTATTTATTTTTAACGCGTCTCTTACCATTTGTAACAGACAACAGAAGAAGTCACTGAAATAAAGAGAGTCTAACAGAGTTGAACTCTTGGCTTCGGTGGGAGTGCCAGCTCCTAAACACCACGAACTACGATATGGATCCATCACTATATCGCTGCATTGCGCGTTAAATTTGACGCGCCAATCGCATGCACTAAAATCTAATGTATCATTTTTGGGTTCATAAATAGTAGCTTTGACTGAACAGAATCTCAACTTGCATTACGCAGGGACAAGGTGTGAAATGGCGTCCGCAGCTGCTGCATCAGCAACTGTTTTCCAAGAAATGGAAACCATTCACAAAGCCCTGGAAGCAATTATGATTTTATGCCCCAAGTACATATGCAAACTTCTAGCTTTGGAGTGCTGGGATAAAGACATCAATGATACCTATAAGGTATACCTGGAAAAATGTCGAGGCAGCCCCTTCAGTCAAACTGAATGGAAGAAGCTCTGCGGCTTCTCGTGCAAAACTTTAGAAACGAAGAAGACTCCCGACGACTTTGACATGACTGCGTTACACCAGTTATTTTTGATCATCTTTGAGATTAAGAATGACGGGAGAAACTCTACTGAGATGAGACAGAAATTGAAGGAAGTGAAGGACGTTAGAAATGACCTCATGCATGGCGCAAAATCAATCAAAGACCCAAACAAGTTTGGGGAAATAGAAGCAAAAATGTTCGGGTTGCTCGAAGAAGCTAAACGCTTTTATCCCTTTCATTTGACTGAGATAACCTCCTTGGAACACGAGCTGCAACTCGAAATAAAGAGCGGCTTTTCTCCCGGGGGAAGAAAGTTGGCTTATGACAGCTACTGCGTTCTTACTGAAGGGAAAGAAATCGCAAATTTCAATTTCCATAAATACGCAGAAGAAGACCTACCATTCGACGTCGGGCGAGTAAAAAGGTCCGAAGTGTTTCATCCACTCGAAGTAACACTACAAGACGAGGAAGACAACACACTCCCATTTCAAGACATATTCTATTCGTCAAAAGAGGAAATCACAATTGTTTCGGGCGTCGTAGGAGCTGGTAAGACAACTTTACTCAAAAACATAACCCAACAATTCTCAGAATCACAACCTAACTTTCCGAGTTACCTGCAAAGTTTTGAAATCCTCCTGTACATCGAATGCAGGGACAGAACTACCCAAAGTTTGCAGCAAGTCGTCAGGGAACATTTTGGTAGTGTCTGCGTTAAGCTTGGAGAAGACAGTGTTTTACAAGCACTCTCACAGCTCCACGTGCTATTTCTGGTCGATGGGTTTGACGAGCGTAATGCAGCATCGATGGCAGTTTTGCGTGAGCTCTTACAAAAATCGTGGCACTCAGACTCACGAATTCTCATCACGACCCGTCCTCAGGCACACGGGGATCTGAAGAAATTCATTACCCAAAATAACTGCAAATTCTCAGAGTTCAAGATTGCCCCCATTTCTGAGCTACTAGAGCAGTTGAAGTTTATGGAGAGATACGTACTCAGTCTGACCAATGACCAAGCTTCCGCATTAGCAATTCAAGATCGATTCTCCAAGCTTGACCCTGAGCTACAAAGATTCTTTACGGAGCCAATAACTTTGTTGCACTTTTGCTCTATGTACATGGATTCTCCAGAAAAGATCAACTCTTGGAAGAGCATCAACGACGTGTCTAGGGACACATTACAGCTACAAAAGATCATTGTGTCTGCAAAGCTCAGTGATGTCGCTTTCGCCAACAAAGAATTCCTGGTTGAGGACTTGTTCTTGGTTGTTGGCCAGTGGGCTTTGGAGTTCCTGTCCTGCAACCAGATCACCTTCACAGACGATGAACTCATGCGCTTAAAGCGACAATGCCACGAAACAATCTTGCATCACGGAGCCGGCAAGGAAGTTGATGGTGCAGTGTTCCTAAACTCAATGCTGAGGGTGAGAAAATCGCTTGCTGGGAGCGCCACCTCGACCTACTCCTTTGCACATAAGTCAGTTCAAGAAAGGCTGGCAGCGTCTTACGTGACGACGCGCATGATGGACCACGGTGATTCTCTATTAGAAATTATGTGAGTAACGTACGCTTAAAATAACGGGTAGGACAACAGGTCCACTGGTTATCGTCTCGGATGTAAATGAATGACGACAGGAAGTCATCACCTGGAAGCGAAACTCTTATTACTACCATAATGACTTTAAAATATTGTAAATTGCAGTTAAATGATGTTCAGCTCATTTGATAAATATTTGTCACTAATATAGTACTGTGTGTAAAAATTATATTAACACAGCTGTCTTTGTTTGCCTCTAATTGTTATTTTATCAACGCAGAACCAATGCCAGCCAGGGTATTCGATCATTTGAGAAATTCCCCTGCATGAGTGAAACTGATCCAGCCTCCGTCGAGCACAGCCACTACGAACAGTAAGAGTTGACTTGAACCTGCGATAATTGTAAAGTGCATTCCGCTGATAGCAGGAATACTAATTAATATTTTTCCTCTCTATAGCTCATAACAGTTCCTTTCTTTATCCTCTGTGAGTAATGTTGCATTTGATTCTATCGCCATTGATGTGGTCAGCTTTAAAATTCCATAACTTTTATTTAATTTAATTTTTGTTTTATTAATCAGCGTGTGTCTTTTTATACTCAAACGTTATCTCTCTAACATTATTCCCATCGTGTCAGGCTGCTGGAAGTGCTGTTGTACGTCATGCAGGATCTGAGCACCAGTTCAAGACAGTTCCAGAAGCGTTGGCCTGAATTAAGGGACGCTATCACTGCTGCTGGCGTCACCAGCGGCGCCGACTGGCAGAACTTGCTGTTGCGGAGTCCTGAAATCACCGAGCTTGCCAAGCACGCGGCCGCGATCACTATCAATGAGTCTAAATTATGGCATGTGCAAACCGGTGAGACATTTGTGTTGAAATTCGTCCAAGACAAAGCCTAAGGAGTATCACCCACTCCTGGTAGTCTTAAGCTTCAGGTTTAAGGGCAAGCTCAGGGGATCGGTCTGTAAGGGATCGGTCTGTAAGACCGATTGTTACTTACCATTTCCATTTTGATTCCAATCTAGGCCTAAAAACCATATATGTGACATGTCATACTTTTTCCAGCTCGCGAGGTGTCGACAGTAGCACTGATGTTGCCACATGTGCAGCCTGAATTCATCCACGTCGAAGTTCCACCCGGAGTGTTGAGTGCTGTGGCTTCCAAGTGGTCAAATTTGACTCAATTGCACAATGGCCAAATAAAGCTGGACTTCCTGAAAGTTTCACAGACGGGTCCTGATCCCTGTGACGATCTGCTCAAAAGCTTTCAAGGCTCAAGGTTGGTATGTATGTGCGGTAAAGTATGAAATAATGGGAAGAAATAATAAATGGCACCAAGTGGCCTCACAATGTTAATACCTGGTTTGTCATCGGCTCGATTTGATACTCCCTGACTCATTGTTAGCGTTTAAATTCCACCATTTGACTGATGTTCGCGTCGAACTGCATCGATTGCAGCATTGCGGTGCTCGCTCGTACAAATGAATAGGTTTGTCATCCACGAATAATGGGCTAATATGCCACAGTTCGTATAGAATTTAGCTTCTTTCCCATGTATACACCGTAATACACGCAATAATGCGTTGCCAACATCAAAGGACATCAGTCCATGCAATAATTGCGCCTGAGAAATGCAAATGAGAGCACTGAATATTCTGGACCTCTAACAATGGCATTCTCTGTTCTCTCATTAGAGGAAATTTTGAAACACAGTTAAGAACTGAAATCTATTTTTCCTTGGTCAACATGTCCAGGAGTTTGAAAGTTCTGCACCACAAGAAACTACTTTTCAGGAGATAAAGAGTTGTCTCGCTCTTAGAAAAACGATTGAATAATTAGAAGTTGTTTCCTAAAACTTGAACTTGAATGATAATTAGCCGACAACTTTACTTTATTTTTTCAGGAATGTCGCAGACTCGTTGTCTAAATACAAGTTAGCACATGATTGAAAGGACAGATATATTAAAATACTTCAAAATTATTCTAAATCCCTGTAGTACACGACCAGTATAATTGCTGTGCTGGTCGCGCTGCCGGATAACTTTTCCCGTAGCATCATTAATTGTTGTGCCGCTTCCCTGACCTCATCTAGCAGTTGTAGTCTTTTTTCTCTATAGCAAGACTAGCGTAGCGCTGTTTTGAGTCAATTTTAAAATGTGAAAATAATTTGCATTTTATTTTTAGCTCCTTCCATTGCATTAAATGAATTCAATTCCAGATCTATACATAAAGAAATGAGGGAACACTGGTTTAATAAAGTTAATAGAGTTAGCGGGGGCCCTGCGACGAACCTGCATAGTTTTTACTCCTAACTTCCTGAACATAACCCTCTACCGCCTGACATGAGTAACCGGAGCAATATTGTCACACATCTACTTCCCAAAAAGCCTACGTTGCTAGTGAGCGCAAAATGACTTGCACTGATGGTTGCCGCCACGTACGACAACTGTAAAATGTTTTCTGTTGCGTACAAACGCCCTCAGGTTGCTGCATTCAATAGTTTAAGTATAATTTTAGTTGGAAATAATATACGTTTAAAAATTTTTTTTAAAGACAACACTTCTAAAGAATCCACTGTTTCCTATGTTACAGATGTGCAATGAATTTCTAATTTTATTTTCGAATATTTAAAAATTTATTTTTCAATATTTTCAATATATAAATTTTTTTTAATTATTTATGCTGTCAATTGATTCATGCATTGCCTTCAACTTCATACAAGTGTGCAAAATTTCAGATCAATTGGACAGGTAAAAGTGTGTCAAATATCAATTATAAGATTGGTAGCTGACAAAATTATTTTTCAGTTTTTTTTAATATTAAAAAAAATTATTTATAAAATTATTTTCTTTGTTATTTGGTTCATGCATTTTCTCCAACTTTACTCAAATAGTGTGCAAAATTAGTGCAAAAATTAGCTTAGTGTGCAAAATTTCAGATCGATAGGATTAGTAGAAGTGTGTTAACTTTTGATTATAAGATTTGTAGCAGACAGACAGACAGACAAACAACAAGAAGTTAAGTTAAAGAGAAGTGTTGTAATAAAGAGAAGTGTTGTAATTAGTCTGATGTAATTACTCTGTTGTAAGAGTGTTGAGAAGTGTTGTTGTAAAGAGACAAGAAGTGTAAAGAGAAGTGTTGTTGTTGTTGTTCCCGGAGAGCGACATACGGCGGTAGAGGGTTAAGAACCTGCGTTCGGCACTCTCAAGTGATAAAGAGCAAGACTGATCCTTGCACGTTCAGGTGTCATATAACTAAACTAACTTTGTCGCGTTCAAATGTAAAAAAAAAGAATAAACTTGTATTATTTCAGGTGTAAGCTCGTGGAGTTGAGGAGCAGCATCAGCAGCACAGATGCCGTCGAAGCAGTAGCTTCAGTTTCGACGGCGGACACAACACTGTTGAAGTTCTCACTAGCCGCACCCCTTAATATGGAAGCTCTGCAGGGCAAATACAAGAGACTAAGTGAGTGAAAAAATTTTGTGTTCTATGTCCTGAGTTTTTAATGTCTACCATTGTTTTGACCGCTTCATGAGCTTTATCCGCCAATAGGGAGAGTGTAACCCTCTCAGTTAGCCAACTAATAAATGGGCATTAAAATAGCTATTCCCGATTTACGCTGCGCTTGAGGTACTGAATCACAATCGACAAAGTTCAAGAGTGACCAACCGTTCTATTCAATATAACCGTTTCTCTCTCAGTTGTAAAAATATGGCCATTGGATGATGCTTGGGCTACGCTGCCTGAGGCCTCCAAGTCCCCGTCTTGTGAAGAGGAGCAAGGCCCTGCGGCTGACAAGAGCAAGGTTCCCAGCGGCCGTCTGCCAGCCGAGGCACCGCCGCACGTGTGGGTGTACGGGGTCAAGTCTGGCAGTGGGAGAGCTGTCGCCCGGGCTATACGTGCAATAGCTCCTCTCACCAAAAGGTTATTCACTTTATTTATTCTCGTTATGAAATAAGAGAATGAAAACTTGCTGAATGTTATGCACTCACTTAAGTAAAATTTGTGTTTATATTCTCCAGTGAATTGTATTCTCTTCAGCATCACTGATTTGCAGCCCTCCAACCATTAGTGCGTGTTAGACCCCAGTGCATCGGAATAGTTTTCTCGAAACGAACTGAGATAAGGGAACGCGACGAGAAATATCTCAAGAAGAATGTCGAAACAAAAGTAACAAAATGTCTCTGAATTAATTTAATTTTTGTGCCAACAATTTAAAACTTGTGTCCCGGATGTCAAGAAATATTATAAAACAAATCGATCTAAAACTATACATGTCCCAAATGTTCGAGGCAAATAAATATATTTCATAATGATGCCAGACAAAATGAGACATGTCGAACACACCTATTAGAGACTGAAAATGTTGAACGCTGCATTGTTAATGTGTGGGATGGCAGGTTTGGCTGCCAATACAATTAAGCAATTACGTTAATGAGCAAACGGGGCGATATATAGCTGGATGAACAATTTGCCGGGAAGTTTCTCACATAACATATTTATGTGTGATACACTTCGGATAATCGCGCCTAACGTGGACCGAGTGCGTTCATTAGATGTTTCAAATTTCTTGATGGCATCAGCACTGGTCATTGACGCTTTTTCTATAAGCCCGTCTACACAGGCGAGTACGTGGTGGGAACCATGTGCGGATGACCACAACTGGCTTCAACTATTATATCGGCCTATTAACTGTTATTATTGGCTTAAGCCTTAAGCACGAGGCCATTAATGGCTGTCAGTGCTTCTTCAAGTGTGGCTGCCAGTGTGTCAAACCGTCTGTGGCATCATCAGATGCCAGAGACCAGCAATGGTATTCGTACCTGAAGACTGGTGACAGTAGGTAGCGTTAGCAGACCATAGGTAAAGATCGTTAGCCACGATAAGTTGTGTAATCAATAATTATGTGTCTATTATTATCTGGAAGCAAATAAACATTCGACGTACAACCATCTTTGGTGAATATGATAAAAAATAATGATGCGTTGAATAGATGGTTATTTAGACACTATTTGTAAATAATAGTTGGTTATTACAGACACTATTGTAAATCGAAAAATATATTAAACGTTGAAAAGTTGCAATATATTCCGAGCGATACGTCCCAAACTATTTTTATATCGGATTAACTAGTATGTGTTGTTATATAGCGTTCTTTTTCGTTGAAAGATTGTGAACTTCGAGAAATTTTACAGCTTCTACTTATTTCCGGGACGTCTAGTCTCAGTATCATCCTAGATTTCCACATAAATCTAGGACGATACTGGCGTTACTCTATAGAAATCTATCATTCTGTTATATGTATAAATAAATTACCAGCATATATTTATGTTTCCTCTTCCTCCCCTCCCCCCATCTCACTCTATGCCCCTCCACCCCCTACCCCCATCTCTATGCCCATATCTCATGCCTCATACCTCAAAGGCTAGGGACTTTGTTCACGACGGCGTTTACCTTCATCATCATCAAATCATCCCCATTCATCATCATCCTTCAGACCCCGGTACCCACCAAATCAACGTGATCGCTCAAGACATCGCACAAACATGATTCAACTCGAAAAAATCAATTTCAAACTCCTTACTAACACACAGTAACATTTCTAACGAGTTTCCTTAACTTCAATGCTCAACTTATCTGACTTACTGATCCATCGGTGTCATACATTTTTTCTTGCTTTATTACAAGCGGCACGGCTTATTAATTATCGCTGATTGATACACTATGTGTTAGATCATCGGTGCCATAAGTGTTCAGCGCACATTATCGCTGGGCTCGAAGACATGGAAAGTTGAATAGGTTTATAACTGCCATAACTAGAGAATATGCCATAATAGAGAATAGATAGTAGGTTTACAACTGCATAAATCTAAAAAAAAATATGTTTATAACTGCCAAAAGTCCAAACGCGCCATGCGGGATATATGGCCTTTATAAACCTATTCATTAAGCAACACTTTTAAATGATTAAGCTAAGCAATAACGACAAACACAATTGACTACTTCACTTTAATTATTATTCATAATTTTATTATTGGACTAACAATGTGCTTTTATTTTTTCAAACAATCATCACGTACCTATAATTTTGTGCCAGTTTCAATTTTTGTTATGTCTTATGTCAGTTTTGTCAGGTAAAGGATGCTACGGATGGTAATTTTGAGCTCACCTCTTATATATATAGTCTGTTCACAGACTGGACGATTTATCGCTGCTTAACTGCAAGTTGGAAGAGGAGGAGGTGCTGCAGCTGTTGGTGCAGCTGCATGGCGATGGCATTAGAAGCACTGATGGCGGCCAAACACGATTCACCCAAAACACGTGAGTCCTGCTGGTTAAATACCTGGGGCCATACTTTCAAAACTCGCTAAGTGAACGTAAGTACTTAAGCTCTATTTTCCTGTCTATGATTTGTGGATTTTGAGCGTAAGGCAGTCAATGATTGGCTTATGAACTTACGATATCCTAACTTATTTTGAAAGTATAGGCCCTGGGCCATAATTCTTGATGGTGACGAACTTATTAAGTCACGTGAACACGTGATTTTTTGACAAGAATGAAAGTAACTTACCTGCTCATTATAACACCTTGCATACGAGTGCATGAGAACATATGTATTCTAATTCATCAAAACATATTCTACCAAGTAATATAACTTGCTTTTTTGTCTGATGTTTAATATCATATTAGCTCTTTTTTGTCTTCTGCGGCAGTCCAGAAGAGAGATCTTAATTATGCTGATAAATTAATATGCTCTTGTACTTCTTAATATGCTCTTGTACTTCTTAATATGCTCTTGTACTTCTTAATATGCTCTTGTACTTCTTAATGTGCTCTTGTACTTCTTAATATGCTCTTGTCAAGAGAAATACAAGAATCTGCGACATGATTATCCAGGCCTATTCTTCAATGCCGAAGTTACCATACTAAAACTGTTGTTCCATCAGCCACCAGCTCCTGGACGATGACGTCGTGACGCTTTGCATCGCCGACGTTCTCCCCGACTTTACCAGGTGAGTGGCGCGGGTGGTCGTGACATTACTTGATCTGGCGCGCGAGCCAAGCTTAGTTATAAGAGTAACATTGATAATTGTGATTAAACTAAATGAGTGAACTCCATAAAAGTCGTATTTTGTTTGCTCATTACGACATTTTCAACCAAGCTTATTCTTTTTTCTTTATTTTTTTTTTTATTTCGAGCATTAATTTTTCTGCAACGTTGCACCACAAATTGTAAATTCTTGGAGGAGAAGCGGTTAAAACTTATACATGGATTTTAGCCGACTTCCCCATATTTTAAGGTAAATTTTCCGCAAAATAAGATCCGTCTTTTTTATTTTGGCTGCTCGGTTCCTCCTCTTATTTTTAACTTTTGTTTCCTGTGGTATCGCACACACACACGTGTATCACGCATACGACACACCCAAATAAGTCAGGGAGAGTTGCCTTTATTTAGGGAGAAATGGGTGACCATGTCTTCACGTGACATCTGGATACGTTGCCTTTATTTAGGGAGAAATGGGTGACCATGTCTTCACGTGACATCTGGGAGACGTTGCCTTTATTTAGGGAGAAATGGGTGACCATGTCTTCACGTGACATCTGGATACGTTGCCTTTATTTAGGGAGAAATGGGTGAGCATGTCTTCATTAGGAGAGTGACTTCATTAACAAATGCTGTCGGACGGAGTTCATTGCTGGTACGGCGATATTGTTTGACATTAATTGTAGCATATGCATAATTATAATAATTTGACAAGCATTAATAATGGATGATCAATGCATGTTAAAATGCATGACCTAAAAGTTGTTGTTCCATTTTTATCTAGTGAAAAATGTATAATGTCTTAGGCCTGGAAGCGACTTGGTACATCTATTAAAATCGTAACTAAAACATTTCTGGTTATTATTGGGATTTTGAATTAATTATGTTATAATGAAACGTTTTATTCACACTTTTTACTCCATGATTATGTAAACAGCTTAACGGTTATATGGCTTCTCAAAAAATTGGAGATTGCCAGATTATAGACAAAAAATGCTGTGACACGCAGATGAATTTATTTTGGAATGCGCAATTTTTCATTAACCATTGCGCTTTAATAAATGCTTCATATATTTATCACAATAAATACATAAATGCAGGTGAGTCAGTCACACAAACTGCTTTATAATCATTGAATAAGAAGTCAGTACATAAATTGATAAGATATAACTCCTGCCGATGTGGCTAAATAAGATGTCAATGCATAAATTTATAAGATATCGGTCCTGCCGATGTGGCTAAATAAAATGTCAATACATAAATTAATAAGATATTAGTCCTGCCGATGTGGCTAAATAAGAAGTCAATACATAAATTAATAAGATATAACTCCTGCTGATGTGGCTAAATAAGAAGTCAATACATAAATTGATAAGAAATAAGTCCTGCTGATGTGGCTAAATAAGATTTCAAAACATAGATTGATAAGATATAACTCCTGCCGATGTATCGAGTTGCATGAAGTGTTGCTCGGCAAATTTTCCAGTCAGCGAACAGGCCTATTTCATCACTGCCGACACTTTTATTCTATAGGACGGCGAGCGTGATGCGCCAAGTCCTCGCCCAGCTGCAGTCCAGTAACGCCGAGGACTTGGAGGCCCAGTGGCCGAGGATGCAGCGAGACATGCAGGAAGCGGGTGCCTGCGCGCGGCACTGGCGGGAGGCGCTGCGGTGTTGTCCGCACCAAACTGCCATCGTCGAGACCGCTGCACGGGCCACCCTCGTAGAAGACAAACAATTCATGATCAAGAGCCGTAAGATAAACAGATTATGATCAAGAGCCGTAAGATTAATAATTCATGATCAAGAGCCGTAAGATAAACAGATTATGATCAAGAACCGTAAGATAAACAATTTATGATCAAGAGCCGTAAGATAAACAGATTATGATCAAGAGCCGTAAGATTAACAATTCATGATCAAGAGCTGTAAGATTAATTTATTCATTTGCCATTATATTCACAAGTGTAGTGCGATTGCTTGTTGTTAAGCTAAAAACTCCTAGAAGATAGTCTTTTTAGCGCATTTTTTCATTTATGGAAAAAATACTCTATTGTGCTGCCGGGCACACGGTACCGTGAACTGTGAGCCTTGCTTTTTAGTACCGTGAACTGAGCCATGTCCGTCCGTCCGTCTGTCCGTGACTTCACGTTTTCGTCGACGAGAGAATGAGCTCTCTGTCACTCACTGCAATGAGTACTGAGTTATATTTTTTTCAATTACAAGCCATGGTTTACGAACATTTTACATCCACATTACGGACATTCGATACTTGCAGGAGTCAGAAATGAGGGCTAGTGGTATGGGATGGGGGATGAAAGCTTGTTAAACGAATCTTCATTTGTGATAGTTTTCCCCATCCAGTGCAAAGGGTCCCAAACGAGGACAATTAACTCTAAACATTAACATTAGCTAGTATGAGTCACGATCGAATTTGTAGATCATCCTTTTTCGTACTCCAATAAAGTTGCTGAATGGATGCAACTAAAAAGTATTTATCAGAAAATTTTCCAGTCAACGAATTCATATGATTTTTTTGTGGCAATAGAAATTGTCTCGAGTATGTCGAGTTGCGATCTAGTGGCGATGACACCATCTATTGAACCATACAAAACTAGATTTTGACAAAGTTTGAATTGAAATTATTAATCTATTTAATTTGATTTAATAGTTTGAATGGAAACTATTATATCTATTATTGAGTTATTCAATTTTTCTTTAATTAAGCAAGGACCGGTAATTGAAAAAAAAATAAATTCACGAGAGTCGCAATTGTCTCTGCAGTTTAATTCACTAGAAGAAAATGTCAATTTGAGAAGAACGAGAAGAAAATATAAATGTAAATTGTCATGACTCTCACTTGTCTGTGCAGATAGTGACGTTGAAGCAGTCGCCCTGATGCTCACTCACGCCCCAAACGCGACCGTGAAAGTGAACACGTCACCGGCAGCTCTTAGCACCCCCGCGTGGCGGGAGATTGTCCAGCACCACAGCCCTGGGGGCAGGGTCTTGCATCTCGACCTCCTGAACTTGAGCCTGGAGTTCCAGCCTTGTGACGACGTGCTCCTGCCTCTGATGGGCAGCAGGTGAGCGAAACTGCAGCTGGTGAGCAAAACTGTAGCTGGTGAGCAAAAAAGGGCTGCAGGTGAGCAAAACTGCAGCAGGTTAGCAAAAAAGGGCAGCAGGTAAGCAAAACTGCAGCAGGTTAGCAAAAAAGGGCAGCAAGTGAGCAAAACTGCAGCAGGTTAGCAAAAAAAGGCAGCAGGTGAGCAAAACTGAAGCAGGTGAGCAAAAAAGGGCAGCAGGTGAGCAAAACTGCAGCAGGTTAGCAAAAAAGGGCAGCAGGTGAGCAAAACTGAAGCAGGTGAACAAAAAAGGGCAGCAGGTGAGCAAAACTAAATTACTCAAGCCGGTCGCAACTGGATATTTTCATCTGATGGCTCTTGAGCTGAAATTCCTCTAAAAATATTAATTTCGGACATGGAATAGCTTTCAATTTATTAATTCACATGACATATTGTCATTTCTTCTATCATATTATCATTATCAGGCAACATCGAAGTGCACAGTTCCTCATGTTAACAGGACCAAGAGGATACTCCTGTCGGCCTCTGTTTTGATAAAATTGTGTTTCAGTTATTATTTATATCACGCGTTAATTAGGTTATATCCATCAATTGCCGATAATTAATTAATTCCCTATCAACTTGTTTGAATTTATTTCTAACTTTATCTCCTTCAATAGTAAAATGCATAGGTGAGATTAGAAAATTTACTCGCAATTTTATTCGCATTCATTTCGCGCGAGCTTACGACAACGGAGATGACATCAGTTGTGAGCCTTGCTAGTACCGTGAACTGTGAGCCTTGCTAGTACCGTGAACTGTGAGCCTTGCTAGTACCGTGAACTGCGAGCCTTGCTAGTACCGTGAACTGTGAGCCTTGCTAGTACCGTGAACTGTGAGCCTTGCTAGTACCGTGAACTGCGAGCCTTTCTCTTACCGTGTAGTGTAAGCCTTGCTACTACAGCGCCGGATTTAGAGTGAGTTTTACTTGAACGTGACAAACAATCAACCAACTTTTCCTTTTCCCGCCAAATTTGTTCATTTTCAGCTGCCGGATTGAAAGCTTCCGCGGTTGCCTAAAGACGGCGGCAGGCGTGGCAGCGCTGGCAGCAGTCGCCGCCTCGGCGTACGTGCACCTCCGCCTCGAGGCTCGTCTGGACCTCAGCCTCCTGCAGGGCAAATGTACTTTCCTCTGTGAGTGCTGCAGAGAAGTGGGAGTCCATGCTCGCTTATGAGCGTGACTTATCAGTCTGGACCTCAGCCTCCTGCAGGGCAAATGTTCTTTCCTCTGTGAGTGCTGCAGAGAAGTGGGAGTCCATGCTCGCTTATGAGCGTGACTTATCAGTCTGGACCTCAGCCTACTGCAGGGCAAATGTTCTTTCCTCTGTGAGTGCTGCAGAGAAGTGGGAGTCCATGGTAGCTTATGAGCGTGACTTATCAGTCTGGACCTCAGCCTCCTGCAGGGCAAATGTTCTTTCCTCTGTGAGTGCTGCAGAGAAGTGGGAGTCCATGGTCGCTTATGAGCGTGACTTATCAGTCTGGACCTCAGCCTCCTGCAGGGCAAATGTTCTTTCCTCTGTGAGTGCTGCAGAGAAGTGGGAGTCCATGGTAGCTTATGAGCGTGACTTATCAGTCTGTACCTCAGCCTCCTGCAGGGCAAATGTTCTTTCCTCTGTGGGTGCTGCAAAGAAGTGGGAGTCCGTGCTCACTTATAAGAGGGTGACTTATCAGTCCAGATAGCGATCACGAAAAATATGCATAATCTCTCAGCATTATAGGTCTCAGTAAATACGGATAACTGTGCATCGATTGTCTGCATCTTCAATGTAAATTGAAGATCATAAAATAGGTAGCAGTTGAATAGTAAGGTCGATAGAAATATGTATACGGTATATATGTATGTATCTCTCTGTCAGTATTACAATTAAGAATGAAAGCTATAGCCACCTATTTCATGACAGTGTAATAATTAGATAAGATGTTTTGTTTCTTCCGATGTCTGCTATCGCATCGCTCCATGAGTTAGATTAATATGGAGTGGGTTTTTCAACTGCATGCTTAGGTCAATAATTACCGTTTGTCTACATAGAATGACTTCAAAACACACCGATATGGAGCTTTGTTTTCTGTTTTTCCTGTCGTTTTACCCACTACCGCCTGGCATGAGTAATCGGAGCAATATGACATGTCACGCGCCTTCTTCCCAAAAAGGATACGTTCTAGTGAGCGCAAAATGACTTGCACTGATGGTTGCCGCCAAGTACGACAACTTTAAAATGTTTTCTGTTGCGTACAAACGTCCTCATGTTGCTCACTCAATAGTTTACACATAATTCAAGTTGAAAGTCATGTTCCCGGAGAGTGACATATACGGTGGTTGAGTGTTAAGTTTGTTCTCTCCCTCTACTCACGATAGAAATACCCGATTTTGAGGCGGTGTACATCATAATTATTACAACCGTATATTTTCTTATGCATCATATCATGCAGTTCAGTGGTGCCTCATCATAGGAGACATTTCATCAGTGATGTATTTCATAATTTGGACTTTTCATAATTTTATCCTTTGCCAATTCAACCTAACCTAACTCAACCCAACTTACATGTTGGGTCAATATATGAAAAATGCACTCTGTGTTATTATGAAATTTTATGATGAATCAATTCACTATAAAATTTCCTTTAGTGATCCAATGTCCCAATGATGAATTGTTATGGTGATGAAATGTCTCGTATGACCAGGTGTCTGGTCACCATGTCGTACATCCAGGACATATATAGTCCTGGATGTACAACATGGCACAAAAACTGGCAAAAAATTAATCTCATTTCTCTACAGGCGTTTACATCCTGGATGTACAACATGGCAGAAAAACTGGCAGAGAAATTAAGCTCATTTCTCTACAGGCGTTTACATCATGGATGTACAACATGGCAGAAAAACTGGCAAAAAATTAAGCTTATTTCTCTACAGGCGTTTACATCCTGGATGTACAACATGACAGAAAAATTGGCAGAAAAATTAAGCTTATTTCTTTACAGGCGTTTACATCCTGGATGTACAACATGATAGAAAAATTGGCAGAAAAAATAAGCTTATTTCGCTACAGGCGTTTATATCCTGGATGTACAACATGGCAGAAAAACTGGCAAAAAAATTAATCTCATTTCTCTACAGGCGTTTACATCCTGGATGTACAACATGGCAGAAAAACTGACAGAAAAATTAATCTCATTTCTCTACAGGCGTTTACATCCTGGATGTACAACATGGCAGAAAAACTGACAGAAAAATTAAGCTCATTTCTCTACAGGCGTTTACACGCCCGTGATTGAAGGCTTCGAGGAAGCTGTGCCTCTGCCGGCCCAGCCTCCGCCCAGGCTGGTGGTTCTGGACGCTGCAGCAGGAGGCCGGGAGGCTGTGGCCCAGACGGTGCTTGCCTACGCTCCTAGCAACAAGAGGTCATTTGCACAGACGACCGTCAAATCAATTGTCGCGTAATACATTTAATGATGAAAAATATTTTTCTATGGTTAGTTCCAGGCAAACGCAAGTAGGATATAAATTCTTCTCCTCCCTCTAACAGTACTCTTTCCGTTGAAAAGATTTGATCAAAAGGCCAGTCCAGTCAAGAAAAATACAAGAATCGGCGACACGCCTATCCAGGCCTATTCTTCAATGCCGAAGATACTATACTATACTATTATATTACTCCGTGCAAGAATTGAGATCACTTGATTGCTTAAACCGCAAGTTTATCATGAATTTAAAAGCATAGAAATAGCAAATCGTCCTGACCAGTCTACTATTACTAATCGTCTTGAATTTCTTGGCAACTTGCAAAGCTTATCGTACCGTCATCTTTACGGTTTCAAATCTTATAAAAATGTCTCATCTGTTTTCCAATCCCATGATTCCCATTTGTTACAGGACTTGGCCAAAAATAAGGACCTGATCATTTATTAGCCAGATAAGGGAAAGGACGTTGTATTGGTTGATCGTAATCGTTACAACAGTAGCCTTTCTGCTCTCATTACAGACCCTTGTAAATTTATCGAGATTACTGATCCAATTGCTTAAACACTTTTGAAGATTGAGGATAAAATTAATAATTTCCTGCAAAAACTTGGAGATTCCGCAGCACTTTCATCTGAAACTTGCTTAAAACTTTATGCCTCTGGCTCTTGCCCTGGTATTTTGGATGGCTTTTTCAATTTTCAAGCATCCCTCTCATGTGGGCCTTTTCTTCGATTATCTTTATCTCAAACACAAACCCATCATATATACCATGAAGCTTGAATCCAACAATAGTTTATCTTTTCTTGATTGTATTGTTACAAAATCAAATGGCCGTTTTCAGACATCTGTTTACCGAAAATCGACGTTTACGGCTTAAGCACCAGCTTTTTTAGCTTTAGTGCTTTTCGTTTCAAATTAAATGGGATTCAAACGTTAATAAACCGCGGCTTTCGTATTTGATCTACTTTCCATGCTATGCGCTCAGAATTTGAATTTTTACGCAGTACCTTTTCTGCTTTTCATTAAATGTGTTTTCGTCGTGATTGATAAATACTCACATTAAGAAATTTTTGTCTAAGCACTATTTTGAGGTTGTTCCCGAACGTGACAATGGGAATGCTGTTTATTGTTAATTACCCTACTTTTGTCCCGCTTCGGAGACTATAGATAAGGAATTTAAAGTTTTCTTCTCTAAATACCTCCCAAATATAAATCTTTTTATATTGCTGGTGAATAATTTTGAAATCAATTCTTTTCTCAAGTAAAAGGAAACACTCCTTGTTCCTATGCGATCGTCCCTGTTTATCTGTATAGTTGTGCGCTGTGCGCATCTACGTATGTCGGTATGACATCACGCAATTCTTTTACTAGGTAGCGGGGCTTAAAGGAAGGAGTTTTAGAGCAGGAAACCTGATCGTGCACCCTACTTATTCAGCAGTACGTGTTCATGCCAGTAGTTCAACGTCGCGATGTCCGATGCTGATGTTGGGTTTAACCCATCCACTTCCGATTTTGCTGACCTGCGATTTTTAGAGTCCCTGTATAATTTTAAACAAAAATCTAGTTTAAATACCGCCTACTTTTCATATCCCCACTAAATTGTAAATAGATAATATTGTAAATAGATTGGTTTGTCTGCTGCTGTTTACTTCATTTTTATTAGTTTTCATTTGACAATTTATATTTTAATATCTTCGATGTGAATATTCAGCTAGCTAATTGGCTGTACTAATGTCTTAGGTTTATGAACTGACCGTGGAACTGGAATCCGGAACGCTTTCACGCATGAGAATTTGTGAATTTTTTGGCTTTTGCGGCGTTTTCTCACTCAGTACCGAATCTCTTAGACCGACCTCTACTGGTTTGATACTTTAAATTACTATATGACGGCAGTATATTAGAAAACATTCCAAATTTCTATTTGGATCATCAATTGGCTATCGGTGACTGCCCAATGGAGCACCATTGCCAACGGGCAATGGTGCTCCTTAACACTCCTGCGTCATTCATTATGTTACATCAAATCATTTTTTCATGCGTAGTAGAGGCAGAGAAGTAAGTGACTTTGGGAGAGGTGGCGAAACTCTTTTTTACAATCGGCCGCTTCATTTCGCTTGCGGTAAAAATGTGAATACACTTTTCGTAGGTCCGACAGTCGGTGAATTTTCAACATTAATTTCCGAATGATGAAACATAATTATGACCAAGTGTTTGATGTCATAGCACCAGGAATGGTTAAAGGTTTAAAATTATTCTGCATTCGGTGCCTTTGCATTCCGCACTGAATTCATCGTAACGTTACTTCCGTATCGCAGGTACGGGGCAATTTCTCTGGCGAGGTCAGCGCTAAGCACGAAGTCAGAGCGACGGCTGTTGGCGTTGCTGCACGAAGAGCTCATAAGAACCAACGACTCTGGCACCACGCGCAGCGAGCCTTACAAGTCAGTGTGTTTGAGGTTAGGTAGCCTTAAGTGGGATGTTCTGACTTCTGAGGTGCAGCAAGTTATTAAAGTCAGGGCGAGGATACGTAGGTTTGCGTGGGGCGAACTTTGGTGCAGCGAGTCCTACAAGTCAGATCGAGGTTAGATGGGTTTGAGTGGGACGTGCTGTTGTGCAGCGAGTGACACTAGTGAGGGTGAGGTTAGTAGGTTTGAGTGGGACGTGCTGTTGTGCAGCGAGTCTTACATGTCAGTGTGGGGATATGCAGGCTTGAGTCGGATGTGCTGCAGTGCATTGGGGGCTCCCGTTTCCATTATTGTGGGTCATTGATTAGTGCCTGATGACCTCTAAGACTCTTGAATTAGCAGCCTCTCAACTGTAAGTGTTTATCTACCATTCTGTTGTTAATCTCGCTGAAATCCCACCATATACCAGTACTGTAACCCCCCTGATCATGCCCCGAACCCGATTTGCCCCGAACCCCACTCTCATCACAATCACTCTTTAAATTATGTCATTTGAGAAATTATCTGGTGTTGTTACATTTTTTCGGATTCTGTATACCTATGTTTGTTCTTCACGGCTATTATGTTTTTTTTCTCATCGATAATGCTGACATGGGTGAGGTCATTGAGAAAAACCTTCGAGTGTTAGATAAGGTTTTCTCGCCGGCCGAACGTAGAAACGTAGTGAGGTTAGAGGATTCTGCTCTAGTTACGTTTGGGGTTGTTTCGGTACTCTTCAAAGTTTTTCGAAGCTGGAACTTCAAAGTCACATTTAGTCTTTTGGACGCTTTCGAGGAATGTGAGGCTAGTGACGTTAGTTTGCGAGTTTAATGAAGATCTTACTAGCATTATGAGATCAATTCAAACTTTAAAAAAGATGTTGCATGGTCCGAAGGATAATTTCAAGAGGCTTCGTTTGAAGCTAATCTTGGATCCAATCTTGCCTGCTCCGACTACTCTAAAGGATTAAATGGGGCTTCCAGGGACAATGTTGTTTTAGGGAGTGATCTCTTGCAGCCTTTTGTTTTTTCTTTATGTGGAGTTTTTTCAGATACGTTGAGAGTTTAGGTGAAAGATATTCATAATCGTCGTTGATTTTGATAGGTTACTTCACAACCGACTGGATCATGTTATTATAGTACTAGGAAGCTTCTAGAGACGTTCTATAGTTGAAAACTTGTGAGGCACATTCCTTACTTCTGATGTCGCATGAATTACTGTTTAGTTTAAATTAATGTTGATTTTGAGTTGAGGAAGTCAGTTTCTGAGAACAAGTGGGGTTGGGAAAATTTTTTCACGGTCGTTGATGAGTGCAGAGAACCATCTGAGACCATCTTTATGTTTTGGATCCTTTAGATATTACGCTTCTTCAGTCATGGCATGATTAGCAGACGGTGAGGATTTTTCGGAGAATTAGCGAGGAAAATGAGTCTTTTCCTGCTGGAGTGTCAATCATCTTATAGGGTTAGGTGAGATAGCCACATGAACCCGTGGTCGGTGATTCTCCCGCAGAGACTACAAGATTCTGGGTTGGATGAGGCTACTAAAGAGCCTTAATTAGGTAAGGCTTCTTCAAGGACATTTAGGCAGAAATACGATAGCATCAGAGGCGTTTGGCAATAGTTATTTTCAAAAGTAAATTTTCATGTATGATCGTTAATTTTTAATTTTAAATTTAATTTGCTAAAACCATGATCTCTCAACTCTTCTTCCTATCACCAGAGACGGCTGGCGACGACTTCGCATCTGCGACGATCCTCCGGGAACTCTCGTAAATTGAGCCCAGCAGGAACGGAAAGAAGAAATAGGGTAACGTGGGGCAGCGCGCCCCCCACTTTTTTCAAACTAAATTTTTGATGAAGTTTTAATTGATACGAGATGGTTTTTTGTTTTGTTTAAAGGTGCAACTAATGAGGAATGTATTATGTGAATTAGACGCCTATAGAGTTATTCAATTTTTAATGAAACCCCATTTTGTAAAAAGTGTCAAAATGGGCCCATTGCCAAAACGTAAATCCGTACACTTCATCCCAGTGAAACTGCCGACCGGCGGTAGAGAACACGGACCAATATCTGCCATACTTAGCGAGAAACCCGCTATGGGCCCATGACCCGCAGTGGGCTCGCTGCCCCATGTTACCCTACATAGAAGCAAAGTTGGAAAATTATTCATTCAGAACAAACTGTTCGAATCGTAATTATAACTTTTTAGCGCATTTTCTCATTTATGGAAAGAAATGCGCTATTGTGCTCGTCATGTCCGTCCGTCCGTCTGTCTGTCCGTCCGTCCGTGACTTCACGCTTTCGTCGACAAGAAAATGCGCTCTCTTTCACTCACTGCAGTGAGTACTGAGTTATATTTTTTATGACACGAATCAGAATTTCATGGAATTCTGCACTTATATTATGAAATGGATATCGGCAATTATAGTGAGAAGTGGAGAGAGACGAGCAGGCGAGCACTAAAAGAGAAACAGGCTGCGATCAACATTGACATGAAGAGAATTCGAACTATTCCCCTAGCCACGTTTCAATGAAATATCTGAACCATCAGTGAAGTGCTTAATGAACTATAATAAAGCATATGCCTGTTATACAATAAAGTGTGTGTTGTACCGAGAAATAAATGTAGACTACCCAGTGCGCATGCGGCGAATTTGATCATTTCTCATGAATCATATTCGGTGACAATGTACTATTTCGGTTCAAATGAAGAATTTATTCCCATAGTAAGCACGATTGACTGATAGACATGCTCCGCCGGTTTGCTTCTGTTGATAGAAAATCACTCGTCCATAACGGTTTATGGGGCAGTCAAGGATCGTCGTCTGACATCATCTCAAAGAGTCATCTTGATTATAAATTGCCAGCGAATGAGAAGCCACTTATATGTATATTTTTCATTGCCTGATATAATTATTAACACCGGGACACGCAAGAAACGTCAAATTACACACCTATTAAGTATATATTATTAAGGATATTAAGTATTTGATCCACTTGCTTTACTTTCCTATATCTAAGCCTTTCTTTTAGGAGTTCACCCCGCGGGTTCAACAAGAGATCTCGAGAAATTCTGTGTAATTAAATAGAAAATTGGTTAGACTTGATTATTGTGAATAAATTTCTTTCCTATATTAAAGCTGATCTCTCCTGCCTAATAATATCCTTTTGGTCTTAAATGATGAAATTTTATTGGCGAGAACGCTGGATAACCTGCGTCTTGGTAACAATAATCTGCACTTGATAGTAACCTGCCCACAAATTGAATGTAATAATACATACAATTAAAATAATACATACAATTATTTAACCTGCCCTATGACCATAAGGCTAGCACTCGTGGTCGGTGTATGTTGGTGGTTCACCACAAAACCGGTACCTACCTGCTGGTGGTTCCAAATGTGTATTGCTCTTCTTATGGCGTCCTTTTTGTCGTCACCATTTATAATCTAGAATGAATTTACTTATCCTATGGCGTCTCTTGGTGGTTATGTGGTCATTGATATATCTGAAATTATCAGTAAATTTTACAACTGAGAAACATTTTGGCCCGATTGAATGTTTTTTTCAACAATAATTTTTGAGTATTTTTTAATGCTTGGACATTTAAATTTACATCCAACTTGGTACAGAAACCAGACTCAGCCAAAATTCTAGTCAATTGTCAACAGTTTCTGTCTTCTAATTATAGCATTTATCCAACCGCCAAGGAGGAGGTATGAATGCTTAAGGTTACGAAATAATTCAGTGAGACGCTAAGCCATAAGTTCACTTGGATGATTAGTCATTATGAACTCTTGAATCTTGGCGTCACTTTACCTGCTGCTAAGCTTTATTTGTATGCTTATATCGCCCTTCTTCTATCAGCAAACGGATAATTTTTAGTCGTGGTTCTCTCGAAATAACGGGAAACTGTTGAAAACCACTCCATGGATGCAAATTGATCCGTAGAATTGCAGTAACTTTTTTCAATCCCTTTGACCAATGCTCAACAATTTTATTCAGGACACTCAATGCATTTATCTTTATCCACTCAAAACAAAACTCACGTGTATTTAGCGTCTGGGGACCTTGTTGATGAGTTGCGCAATAAATTGCGTGATTTGAAAAAGTTGGAAAATATAATGCGCAAACGTGAAGAAATTGTGTGGTCTAGGGGCTACATTGCACAATATTTGGATCAGGGCATCTAACCCTAGCGGTCGTTCGAGGTAGATGCGTCAATCGAGTTTCTTCACCATAGCTGCGGAAATGACTTTTCTCCTGACTTTATTGAGGTTTATCCTGATCTTCCACTCTTATTGGGTGTTATACATATGCTCAGATTATGCTGTTCCTGCAAAAAAATAGGAGCTGTAGGAGTACAGATTAACTACTTTGCTAATTGAGTACCCCTCAGGGGGGACTTTTGACGTGTGTCTGTGCTCGTCAGAATTCCTATGGGATTTCGCGTTCCTAGGGGGATTGTCTCTAAGCGCCCCACCGCTGAGCTCGCGGTGTCTGACTGTAGGTCTCAGTTGTGGGGTTAAGTTATTATGTAGGCAGGATTCCTTACATTTATTTATTATGTAGGTTGGATTCCTTGCATTTCCCTTCTCTGTCTCTCACGTGCGGGCGGCCGACGTCCCGTGTAAGCGACCTCTTGTTCGAGTGTCTTCGTTTCTGTTGCTTTTCACCTGTCCCTCCTTGTCACTTCGTCTCTTTGAGATGCTAACGCTGCTTCTTTCGAGCCAGCTTCAGCGGGCTGGGCATCTGAGACCTTCTGCCCCTTGTGGGCGATGAATAATTGAGACCTTCCACCTCTATGGTGATGTTCATCTTGACTTTCGGTGCGAGATAGCTAAATAGCTGAAGCGCTAGTAAACATTTGGCCACTAAACTAACTAACTAACTTGCTCATTGAGTAATTTTTCGTGAGTAAATTTCACTCTGTCAATAAATCAGCCGTTGGATCATTCTCTCTGTTTTTGCTAGTCTCTTCTCCTATATATTTCACGACTTGATATAGCTTGCCCAATATCGTCTGGAGGCACTATCGTGCAATATATTGCCCAACCGCTCAATACCGATAATGAACACCCAATATAATTCCGTTACTTAAAATATTGCGCAATGATATTGAGCAGTTTGGTTGCTGCCATCTATATATTGTGCAACATATTGCTCAAAAATATCGAGCGTCTAGGAGCTGTTAATTATGGATCTAACCCTACATTAGCCATAAGAGACTAAGACGTCTTATCACATTCACTCATGTTGAAATGAACTGTTCCTCGTCCCAAATCTAAGAAAACCGTCTCATTGATAATTGAAATGCGAAAGTCTGGGGATAAATTAAGAATTTTTATCGGTAATCATATCCAGATTAAACTTGACCATGCATGCATTAAACTTAACCATGATAACCTTTCGACTCCTGTAGATTTACATTTGAATATGTAGTATTGCTTTTAGACTGGCCGTACGAGCACATTTAGAACGTCCTGTTCAGTGGCATGCGGTCTACGAAGAATTATGCCAAAGTGTAAAGGCTTTAAAAGTTATTTAATTTTGTAGAACGATTTTATTTTAAGGTCGAATCACGGAGGCAGTTTGCTTCCTACCATTACAATTTAGCAGTAAAATAATCCTTTGTACATTAGAAAGTTCATATGTTTTTACACATATGAACTTTCTAATGTACAAAGGATTATTTTACTGCTAAATTGTAATGGTAGGAAGCAAACTGCCTCCGTGATTCGACCTTAAAATAAAATCGTTCTACAAAATTAAATAACTTTTAAAGCCTTTCCACTTTGGCATAATTCTTCGTAGACCGCATGCCGCTGAACAGGACGTTCTAAATGTGCTCGTACGGCCAGTATAAAAGCAATACTACATATTCAAATGTAAATCTACAGAAGTCGAAAGGTTATCGAGTTCAGTAGAAAAATATAAACACTTTGCTCGAAATAAGTACCGAAAAAAATATGTCCCGGAATGTCTTATGTCGATACGATGATATTTGTTTCTGATGACAAAACACAAGATTTAGGTACTGTAAGCAATCATGTTACTGATGACATTTCTTCCAGTGAGGCATCCTGCTTCAACTTCTCTACGTCTGCGCTATAAATGAAATATTGATTAGATTTCTGATAAGGCAAGATACTCAAGATTGATGAAATCCAGCCGAGGATATTATGCGCATTGTGGCGATCGTCAATCTATAATTTTTAATTCATTACTATTATTCCATTATTATGATAATAATACAAATTAACCGATAATTAATAAGATATCAAACTTGGAGTTCATTCTGCATTATTTCAGTTGAAACATTTTAGAAACCAACTCCATCGTAAGCTCACAAAATTTATTCGTCCTCTGGAGAGTAACCCCGAGTCACCGAAGTTACCCCGAGCCACCGAAGTTACTCTGAGTCACCGAAATTATCCTGAGTCACCGAAGTTACCCTGCGTCACCGAAGTTACCCTGAGTCACCGAAGTTACCCTGAGTCACCGAAGTTACTCTGAGTCACCGAAGTTACCCTGAGTCACCGAGCCATGTGCGTAATAAGGCCCCATACGCTTGTGAGTCTTTTTACCGAGCTCAGCTTACGAGTCTGATTCTCGTACCAGACTCCTGGGAATTCAACCATACATCTTACTTATCTCGTCCAGTTGTTAAGATGAGTGACAAGGCAAGTTGCAGCTTTGGTAATTGTATTATCAAACAGCTTTATACGCTCATTAGTGTTGCTGAATCTTCTGATGCATGTTAATATGTTGCTTAAACGTGATAACATTGTGCGTCTAGGGCAACGTTGCGCAATATTCTCTTAGTTGGCCTCTAGCGATCATTCGTCTGAACCGTGTGTTCCAATAATGGGTGACAGGAAAGCTAAAAAGTAATTTGTAGTGTTGAATTCATTGAAGGGAAACGTGGTCCTTCGGCTCTGTGGAATGTGACGTGTAAAAATTTTCGCGCTCCTGCAAATGTATGATTACCGCACGATGCACGGATTGACTATTATTGTGAAAAATATAGGGATTCGTTCAAAGAAACAAAAAGTTAGATATATGAAAATTCTGGAAAAGTATTCGACTACGCGCAGGCAATACCACCCTCTTTCTTCAAGGATACTAGATGACATTTTAGAAGAGGTAAATGCATCTTGAAAAGAAACAAAGTAAATGTTTTAGAATTAATAATCGTATTTATTATCGTTGCTTTCAATGTTATATTTTCACGAAACCTATT